CTCACGTTTATGTGGGCGTGAGGAGCTGTGAGGATGAAGCCCACACGTACCACGGGCGTATGCGGACAGGGCCTGTGTACTCATGTTTATGTGAGCGTGAGGAGGTGTGAGGGTGAACGTGGAAGCATCTTCCAGGGGAGGGAGCCGGAGCAGGGAGGGTGTGGCACAGAAAGTCAACCATAAAAACACACGGGAGCTTCTGTTACAGGAGCTTTAGCGAGTCCACGATAAACTCAGATTATTTTGCAGATGAGCAGCCACCAAACCACACGGACTCCACACCTGGGCCTTAACATTCCAAGCCGCCACACTACCTCCCAAAGAGGGTGTCCCGCGCAACCCCAGCAGACGCCAAGGCTCTCCTGCCTCCGCCAGGCACACGCAGACTTACTTCCGCGCTTCTTGCTGTAACTCTTCAATTTGTTTCTTCAGTGCCTCATTGGCCTCTGTGACCGCGACCATCTGGTCCTTATCGAACTGCAAAGACTTTGGAAGGGAGGGAGGGAGGGCATGAGTACCAGCACCGCCGGCCCCAGCCCGGCTCCCCTCCCCAGCCCCAGCCCATCACCCCCGCCAATGGCACTGCTCAGGCCTGCCCTGGGGGACTTGGACATTGAGAAAACCCCTGAGAGAGAGACACCTGCCTCCTTACAAACCACCCTTGACTGCGGCTAGCAAGTGTTTCCAGACACTGTGTCCAAAGCATCAGAGGCACAACAGAGCATGACTGGATCACAGGAGAGCCTGTGGACCCAGGACCCCTCCCTCAAATCCCCTGGACCCAAGATTCCTCCCCAGGGCCACAGGACTCCTCCCCCAAGCTCCCGGGTCCCCTCCCCCGGAACCCCCAGGACCTTCCTGAGCCCCCAGGATCCTTGCCCACAGCCCTCAGTACCCTTCTCTGGAGAACCCGGGACCCCTCCCCAAAGCCCCCCAGATGCCCTCTGCAGGCTCAACTGTGAGTGCTGAGGGCCACATCCCCCACCTGCTCCTGCCCTCACAGCCTTTCCCCAGCTCCTGTGTGCTACGCGAGTCCCCAGAACCAACCCAGGCCTGCAGCAGTGGGGTCTGAGCATGCTGTGACTGCATTGCTGAGTCCTCCAGCCTCCTGCAGCCCCAGCTGCCGGACTCCCTGCCCCACCCTGGCATTCCATCAGCCCCTGGCCCACTCACCTCACCAACCCAGCACTCCCCCATCAGCCCCCGGCCCACCTCCCCACCCCACCCTGCGCTCCTCCATCAGCCCCTACTTTCCCACACTGATGGCACCAGCCTCACCACTTCAGCACCAGCTACTCACCAGCCTCAGTCTGGCTCCTACTGAGCCAGACACACCGACCAACCTGGGACCTTGGCTTGGTCCTCTCCAGCAACTTCAGAAACATCATAAGCAAAACGGCGCCCTTGGTCTAATGTCCATCAGACCACCCTCCCCCAGTTTACTGCTGCTCTCCTGATTCCTCACCTCACCTCCTGGTTCTCAGCTTGGACGACTGGACAGGAACCTGGACTGTCTTACACCCCTTCCCCTCGCCTCCCGCTCACCTGTCTGCCACCTGCATACAAGAAACCGTCACCAGCACCCACAGCACCTGCCGTGTGCAGAAGCCACACCAGACTCAGTTTCCACAGGAATGTGACTGGCTCTGGCCAGTCCCAGCTCTACACTCACCACAAGGGACTCCCAGGGTCCCTGGGCCTCAGTGTCCTGCCCATGTGGGGTCTGCACGGAACCCTCATCCTTGCTCTCTGTATAGTGCTCACTCTCCTCTCACACACTGGCTCCCAGGGGCCCGCGGCAATGGAGAGAAGCCAGGTGCCTCACGGGGCCTCCTCGCTCCCTGCCTTCATGCAATGTCGCCACTTGGACCTAACAGGCCTCACCAGCTGCCCCTCCAGGACCTACCAACCAGACCTCACCGGCTGCCCGTCCAGGACCTACCAACGAGGCCTCACTGGCTGCCCCTCCAGGACCTACCAACCAGACCTCATCGGCTGCCCGTCCAGGACCTACCAATCAGACCTCACTGGCTGCCCCTCCAGGACCTACCAACCAGGCCTCGCCGTCGGCCGCCCATCCAGAACCTACCAACCAGGCCTCGCCGCCGGCCGCCCATCCAGAACCTACCAACCAGGCCTCGCCGCCGGCCGCCCCTCCAGGACCTACCAACCAGGCCTCGCCGGCCGCCCGTCCAGGACTTACCAACCAGGCCTCGCCGCCGGCCGCCCGTCCAGGACCTACCAACAAGGCCTCGCCGGCCGCCCGTCCAGGACCTACCAACCAGGCCTCGCTGGCTGCCCCTCCAGGACCTACCAATCAGACCTCACTGGCTCCCCCTCTAGGAACTACCGGGCCTCAGCAGCTGCCCCTCCAGGACCTATGCTCCAGGTGGGCCTTATTCTGGGCTGTTCCTCCAAAAGCCTCTCCCCACCTTGCCCCTGCCCCACCCCAGACACAGTGGGCCCCCACGTGCTTTGGCTGAATCCTCCCCAGCAAGTGAGTCAATCCGACACTGGCAGACCTGCATGTGTGTCTCCATCTCGTCTCGCTCCTTCTGCGCGGCCTGGAGATGCCCTTCGAGGTCTGCTATCTGCTGCCGGGCCTGGGATGCCTCCCTGTGCAGGCGTGAGAGCTCCGCCTCTGTGGTCCGCTTCTCCCCCTGCACATGCATTAGCTCCTGCCGCAGCTCCTTCAGCTCCGAGTCCAACCTCTTCCTGGTGGCCTTCAGCTCACTGATGAGCTGGTCTTTGGAGGTGGCGTCGCGCCGGTAGGCCTCCACCATCACCTGCCAGAAAGACCGGGCTGTGAGCCCGCATTTGTGGGCCTTCCTGGGGGTCAAGCTGGCTTCAACAGAAATGTTTACCACTTATCAGAGGCATAACTTTTTTGAGGTAAAATACATTTCATCAAATCTAAGACTCCATCGACTGAGATACACCATTATTCACAGGTGACATCACTGCCTGATCAAGAGTGTGTGTGATGCACGTGGTGGGCATACCGGCCTCCCAGATGTCTCCTCTATTCCAGGAATCTGGCTCTCTCCTGCCTTCAGCTGCACTGCTTTGCTTCCAACAGGTCATTCCCTTGCTTGGGGCTTGGTAATAAAACAAAATAAAAGCAGCACTCACAACACTGCTTCAGGGGTTGCCCTCGCTCAGCAATAAAATACAGCAGGCTGGGCGCGGTGGCTCACACTTGTAATCTCAGCACTTTGGGAGGCCAGATCACGACGTCAGGAGTTTGAGACTAGCCTGGCCAATATGGTGAAACCTCGTCTCTACTAAAAATACAAAAATTAGGTAGGCATGGGGCATGTGCCTGTAGTCCCAGCTACTTGGGAGGCTGAGGCAGGAGAATCACTTGATCCCAGCAGGCGGAGGCTGCAGCAACAGGGACAGCACTACTGCATGCCAGCGTGAGTGACAGAGCCAGACTCCATCTCAAAAACAAAACACCAGCACTCACACCGCTGCTTTGAGGGTGGCCCTCGCTCAGTAATAAAACACAGCAGCACTCACAATACAGCTTCAGGGGTGGTCCTAACTCAGATCCCATAAACTCCAACAAGAGGGAGAGTTCAACAGCAGGTTTCCAAGATGCCGCCCTAAGGAAAAAGTGGTTCTGGAAAAGCGGGGAAAGGGGAGCAGCCTCTGGGAGTGACAGTGCTGACAAGAAGGCTCAAGGTCCCAAAGGTGGTGGCAATGCAGGAAAGGTCAGACACATTCTGTGTGAAAAACATGGCAAAATCATGGAAGCCATGGAAAAGTCAAAGTCCAGGATGAGATTCAATGAAGTGGCCACACAATATAGTGAAGATAAAGCCAGGCAAGGGGGTAACCTGGGTTGGATGACCAGAGGATCCATGGTGGGACCATTTCAAGAAGCAGCATTTGCCTTGCCTGTAAGTGGGATGGATAAGCCTGTGTTTACAGACCCACCAGTTAAGACAAAATTTGGTATCATATTATGGCTGAAGGAAGAAAAAAAAAATCCAACAAGAGGTACTGGCTTCACTGACACAAAATTTATATATTCCATGTCTTTTTGGGTGACCATGATTTGTTTCAATGCTGGAACTCCATGTAAATTTTTCAAAGACATTTTAAATGGCAAACCGAACCTGCGCGGTAACACTACCACACAACACATTCAGCTCCGTGGAGCAGGCAACAGTTGCTTCAACAGCAGCCGCCCCTGGAGATCTGAGGGCCAAGACCCCCACCCCGCTGTGGAAGTGTGTCTTGACTTTGGAGATTAAGTTTCTTTAAAGAAGTTAAAGAGATCATCTGATGAGGCAAAAAAAAAAGTTAGAGAATCTGAGATGTTACATTCTCAATTTCAATTAAATTGGAATTGCTAAGCAATTAAACCACACAAAACTGTTCACATGCTTGTTTCAAGAAATCAACAACACATTTTTACCTTTTGTTGAATAAACTGTTCCTTTATTTTTTGCGTCTGCTTTTTCAGAGCGGCAGTCTCCTGCTGCAGGTGTTCCACCTATGGGGGACACGTGAACAGATGTTACACTGAGGGCTCCAGTAGGGACACATCTGCAGAGAAGTTACCCTGAAGGCTCCAGGAGGGACATGTCTGCAGAGAAGTTACACTGAGGGCGCTAGGAGGGGGGCACATCTACAGAGATGTTACACTGAGGGCTCCAGGAGGGAACTGTTTCTGCAGAGAAGTGACACTGAGGGCTCCAGGAGCGGGGGGGAGGGCACATCTGCAGAGACTTTACACTGAAGCCTCCAGGAGGGGACATGTCTGCAGAGAAGTTACACTGAGGGGTCCAGTAGGGGGTCACATCTACAGACTTTACACTGAGAGCTCCAAAGGGGAATGTGTCTGCACAGATGTTACACTGAAGTCTCCAGAAGGGGAACTCATCTGCAGAGACATTACACTGGGGGCCCCAGGAGGGGGGCACATCTGCAGAGATGTTATATGGAGGCTCCAGGAAAGGAATGTGTCTGCATAGGTGTTACACTGAAAGCTCCAGGAGGGGAATACATCTGCGCAAATGTTACAGAGGGCTCCAGGAGGGAACACATCTGCACAGATGTTACCCTGAGGGCTCTAGAAGAGGACACATCTGCACAGATGTTACACTGATGGCTCAAGGAAAAGACACATCTGCAGAGATGTTATATGGAGGGCTCCAGGAGGGTAACATGTCTGCACAGATGTTACACTGAGCTCTCCAGGATGGGGACACATCTGCAGAGACATTACACTGAGGGCTCCAGGAGGGGACACATCTGAAGAGATATTACATGGAGGGTTCCAGAAGGGGAATGTGTCTGCACAGATGTTACATTGAGGGCTCCAGGAAGGGACACATTTGCAGAGATGTTACACTGAGGGCTCCAGGAAAGGACACATCTGAAGAGATTACATGGAGGGTTCCAGTAGGGGAATGTGTCTGCACAGATGTTAC